ATAGGATAGAGGTCGGAAAGATCATAGTAGGCGATGGAGGTCGGAAGATCAACCATAGTAGGCAACAGATGTCAAAAAGACCATATTCGAAACGGAGGTCGGAAAGATTATAGTCGGCAAGAGACTGGGTCAGAAAGATCGTAGTAGTAGGGTGGTACTCCGGTAGAACTCTGGGTGTCAGGTGGTAGTTTGGCAGAAATCTAAGCCTCTGGTGGTGGTTTGAAAAAATGTCCAGGCCTCAGGTGATGTTTCAGAAGAAGTCCGGGCCTTAGGTGGTGGTCCGGTAGAAGTTTGGGCCTTAAGTTGTGGTTCGGCAGAATTCCGGCGTCAGGTGGTGATCCGGCGGAACTCCTAGCCCCAAGTGTTGCCCCATTGGAACACTAGGCATCAGGTGGTGTTTCGACGGAACTCCAGGCATCATGTGGTATCCTGATGGAACTCTAGCGTTAGGTGGTAGTCTGACGGAACTCCGGGCATTAGGTGGTGGTCTGGCAGAGCTTGGGGCTTCAAGCGGTGGTCTGGGAGAGCTTAGGACGTCAGGTGGTGGTTCCGCGGAGCTCAGGGCCTCAAGCAGTGGTTTGACGGAGCTTATGACGTATAAGGGTGTCAATTCGGGTCGACGGGTCTGGTTCGGGTCAAACCCGACTTGACCCGGACGTAAACGGGTCAACCCGAACCCAACATGTTTAGATAAATGAGTCATGAAGTTAAACCTGGACTCGACCCGCACGGGTTGCCGGGTTGACCAGACCCAACCTGTGAACCCCTTTGACTTGGTGGCACAACGGCAGGCGAGGCAGTGCCGAAGATGTTGCATTCTACACGGAGGCCGACGGAGTGGGAACTCGACAGGACGTTGATGGCAGCTGGTGGCCCGATGCGTTGTGGAGTGTGGATCGCGGCGTGGAGTCACCATTTGTTGACTAGGCGAGTCCGCGAGCAACGAACGTGTTAACGACTTGACCTTGAGTGTGGACCGCGATGCTTGATGTGGACTGCAGACGACTGGCCAAGCGAGATTAGTCTAAGTCATCCGGTGATTCCGGACTTTCAGTCCAATCCCTTTGAGGCAAAGCTGCAGAGGCTCTGACAAAGCAAGGCCAAATCCCTCGGGCCCGGGGCCTCCGTTTAGGAATCCAAATTCTCTCCCTGTCCAACATGGGAAAATTAAAAATGGAAACTCTAGAAGACTACAGAGGCGCCTAGCCTGGTTACCAGTTCAATTTTGGGTCAATTTCGGGTTACCGGGTTGACTCGGGCTGACTTATTTATTAAACGGGTCGAAAGTTGAGACCTGAACCCGACCCGTTTGTTAAACGGGTCAACCCTAACCAGGATTTTTTAGGTCAGGTTATTGGGTCGTGTCAATTATTGACACCCCTTACCCGGATTTTTTTTCATATTAGTACCTCATTTTTCTTTGGCTATAACATTTTAATCATTTTTTTAAAATTTTTTATCGTAATATTCTTAGAAACAAAATGTGAAACGAGTATATACGTGGAAAAAGTTGAATTAGGTAGAATACATATAAAATTAGAGAGAGTCATCTTAGATGGCTTGTTCACATAAAATGTCAACTTTCAATGACTTATTTAGGAGATTAGATGTATTAGATTCGGGCTATGTTAAGAAAGAGAGAGGTAAACCTAAAAACCTTAGTTATAAAGTATTATAAATGATATTTTTATTAGATTTAAATGAAAATTTAACTCTCATCAGGACACAACCAAGAAAAAATATTCATGTAGCCGATCCCATATAGTGCGACAAAAGCTAAACCGTAAAAATTATAACAAAATTACCATCCAATAAAACTTATAATACATATAATAATTTTAAAAAATATTTTAATAATAAATATTCTATCACTATTTTTATAGATAGTTGTAGACCCCTGCCATTAAAAGCTTCATTTAGCCACTTCTAATCAGTAATTGCAACATTGCAATTACTGATTAAAATGGCTAAATAAAATTTGTAATATATATATTTGTACCATATTGCCTGTTAGAATATAAGTTGGTATTGATAAGCCATATGTCAAAGCTTGGTTGAGAATCGCATCGATATATTTCTTGATCAGACCGGTCCAACAAAGTAAACCCAATTATGCCATATTAAATTCGGTCCATCTCAACCGGCAACCAGCGAGGCACTTGCCATTGGGCAGCCTCATGAAAAACGACCATTTTTTAAAATCCAGTTTGTAAAAATATATTTTATTGTTAAATTAAATTATATTGTCAAAATTTATATTACAATTATCTCAAATTAAATTAAATTGAGATTTATAATGGTATAATTTTGATCCATATATTTCAAACCAAAAATATTTAGTTCTAAGAGAGAGAGAGAGAGAGAGAGAGAGAGAGAGAGAGAGAGAGAGAGAGAGAGATTTGGTTTGGGAGATTTCAATCTATTTTTAGTTGACAACCAGATTTGAAAGTTGTCCGATTCGAGTTATGTTGTATTTTGACACTATCAATTTTCAAAAATACGAATTTTTTTTATTCTTTTGATCTAATTTATATTTTCGTAGTCTAAAAATGAGAATAACTCAAACTTTTATCTTATATATTTATGTAAGTTGTAGAGACGCGGATTCTAGATATTTTGGTCATTTTCTAAAATAATAAGTTAGTTGTATTTCACTATTTTGAATTGCGAATTTATGCTCAATAGTATATTCCTCTACCAATCGTTAATGCATTATGTTAAATTCTGAAATGAATTTATTTATATTTCTTTTTACTACAATGCAATGCATGATATTATTATTTAATTGAAATGTGTGATTATGAGGAGAACTTGTGTGTGTGGAGAAAATTCTATTCTCGTGCTAAGGACACATTCTGATGTTTTATGCACACACTGTTTTGGTGCTATATGCATATTTTTGTTCTCTTTTGCTAGGTATTGGGAGTTATGGGCAAATTATTACGTCCGGTGTCCGGATTCGTTTGGACACCAATCAAGACGTACAATGTCACCTAAATACACCGGGCTCCAGTGTATTTTAGTGACGTGGCACGTCTGGATTGGAGGTCCGAACGTCCGGTGACCGGACTTAATAATTTGCCCAACAATATGACCATGATATGGAAGTATTTACTTATGCTAGAGCTAAGACCAACATGCTAACAACTTCGTAAAGATTTGTAGGCTGAAGCATAGCCAAATGAAAGTACCAGCTCTCATGGGATGTTCTACATATCTTTGTATACCTAGCATCTCCAAGGGTTCAGATCATGTCGGTCAAGATAATGTTGTTGGGCCCCTCATATCTCTCACATTTTAAGATGGTCTCAAGGATATCGAACTTAACTCGAAATGAAGTATCTAAGTGCAATGAGTTTTTCTATTGAAAACGGAATATCAAGCTTTAACGTATAAATGAGGATGATTCCAATGAGTTAAATTGATAGCGCCATAATTTGATTAGGGATTGATACGTCATCACAAAATTATCTTGATCGGGCACGAATCCCGGCGCAAAAATCAAGTTGGAAACTTCAAAAATTAAATTCGGAAGCACCTGAACTCCGATTTCAGCAAACTTATAGTCAAACTGAGTGTCTTGGAAATACGAACCCAACGATACCAAATTCAACTTAATCCGAGCCCAAATGAGCCCAAATCAAACGCCCGAAGTGCTGTTGGAAAGCTCGTACCACAATTTGAGTTACCAAACGGTCTCCGATTTTAACGAGCTTATACTCGAATCGAACGGCTCGACGAGAAGAATCCAACGAGCCCAAGATCGCCAAATTCCGACATCACTAAGGCTTTCAAATGTCCAACAAACGATGAACGATCGAAGGATTCAACATCAACTATCCATTCGACCACTCCCTATTCGCCCATGATCTTTACACCTATTTACAAGTCATGCCACTCCATAAAAACTATAAATAGAGCCCTCATTCTTCACAAGAGGACTCAAGTGAGAAGAGAGAGAATAAGAGAAGAGAAGAAGGGGAAAGGGAGAATCATCTCCTCCTCGACCACCGCCGGAGTTCTTTCTGCCGCCTGAATACGCTGAAATTCTGCCGAATTTTCGGGAGACTCCTGAATTCTGCAGAACTTTGTAAACTTCGTTTCAATTTAGAAGAAATTGATTGTAATCTAATTATCCTAACTTGTGGGACAAATCAGCCTTTTTACCTCAAACAAACACCAGTGGAATTATTTCAACTGGGCGTGGCCCCCTGGTTTTTTTCCCTCTTTCGGGTTTTCCACGTAAAAATCCTGGTGTTATTTTATCTTATGTTTGTGTGTGCTAGATATTCGTACAATGCTCTGACGAAAATTTTCTAACTCTACTGCCGCGTATATTCTAGCCCGCAACAGGGATGAAAAGTGTTAAGCTTAACTTAGACTTCGTTTGTGATGATTTTTTTTATTGCTTCTTAAAGCAATTTTTTGAACTTAAAACAATTTTTTAGTTCAAAAAATTGCTTTAAACAGTAGTAAGAAAGATGTCCCAAATGAGACCTTAGAGGAAAGAAAAATATCTTAAGTTGATTTATACAATAAAAGTGCCTTAGATCCCATAGGATTTGACTTAATGTTTAGGTTCAATTTCAGACAAAGTGGTTGAAGAATTGTGAGATTTACATATTCATATATTTAACTCATAATTTTTTATTTATTTATTTACATAACTCTCTAATATCTAAATGATATTAAAAAGTATGTATTATTATATACATTTAATTTTAAATAAATTAAAATTAGTGATTTTTAATACATAAAAATCTACAGTACCTATGTAATTTCTAAAAAATTAATCAATTAATTATAATTTTATAAAAGTACTCATTTTTTTAATATTTTGCACAGCCTATTTAAAGATGGTAAATAACAATAAATAAAATATAGCTCAATGATTGGGAGCTTTTGAGACTTTTACAAATTCACGCGTGCTTAGTAAATTTCAAAAAAGATAAAAATAATAATGAAGAAAAAAAAAAAAAATACAAGGACAGCTCGACGGCAGGGAAGAGAAAAGTGTATTCTTCGTTGGTTCTTCCTTCCTTCCTTAGCATTCCAGGCTCCTCAGCATTCCAGGCTTCGCTGAGACTTCTTTCCTGCTTTGTCATATGTAATAGGATTTGAATCCTCCTTCTCCTTTGGCGGCGCTGTGAAGGGTTCTCAAAGATCCCATCTTTACCCCGATTGCTCGACAAATATAATCGCTTTTCCCGACTCTCTGCTGCTCATCTGTTTCCCAAGTTCACATCTCGAAGTCTCTGCCAATTCTTCTGTTACCGCTGTTTTTTGTTACTGTTCGGTTTCGGTTAGGCTAGAGGCGAGGATGGATTCCGAGAAAAAGCCGCGGGTATCGAACGCGGGGGCGTGGGGAATGAACGTAGTTAGCTCTGTTGGCATAATCATGGCCAACAAGCAGCTTATGTCGCCTAGCGGCTACGGATTCAGCTTCGGTATTCTCTCTTTTCCGATTTTTAGGGGTTTGATTGTAGTCTTGTCCGTCTTAGATTTGATTTGTTAGTCTATTGCAAGAAAGGTCAGATCTGTTTTGAAAGTTCCTAATATGTGCTTCTCTGAATCTTCCATTGGGCTGGTAGAGTGTAGTTGAAGCTGAGATGTTTGAGCCTTCGAATAATTTATTACGCCTTGACCTTGTTTGTTTTAAATTTAAGAACCTTTAAGATTGTTACTTGTTTAGTTTTTTGCAGCCTGTGGAATCTTGCATAACTATCCTTAACCACGCGTAATGGAAAGCTGTTATTTTTCCCACCGATTTATTTATATTAATTGTTTTTAGCATCTGTAAATTTTTAATCTGATTTCTTATATGATTTTTGCTTGAAATTTAAATAAGCCTGCTTTGAAACTCTGCAGCAACAACGTTAACTGGCTTCCACTTCAGTGTGACGGCTCTTGTCGGTTGGGTATCAAATGCTGCTGGGTTGTCTGTGTCCAAGCAGATTCCTTTGTGGGAGCTTCTATGGTTTTCGATTGTTGCAAATCTTTCAATTACCGCCATGAATCTAAGTCTAATGCTTAACTCCGTTGGTTTTTATCAGGTTTGACGCAGATCTATCATTTTGTTAAGTATGATCAGGCAAAGCTTATTTATCTTCTAATATTTTGTTGTTTTATGTGACATTTAGATCTCAAAGTTGAGTATAATACCAGTGGTTTGTATGCTGGAATGGATATTAAACAACAAAAATTACTCCTCCAAAGTGATTATGTCTGTTGTTGTTGTGGCTTTTGGCGTTGGCATCTGTACGGTGACTGATGTGGAGATTAACATGAAGGGCTTTCTTTGTGCCTGTGTGGCCGTCTTCTGCACATCACTCCAACAGATTGTGAGCATTTTAACGTTTGCCTTTACATTTTCATATACTCAATGCAATATGATTTTCCTCTCTTGCATCATTTTGCTTTTGTTTTTGTAAACTAGAGACTTGAAATCTGTAATAGCTGAATTAATGTTGTACTAGAGAGATATATTCATTCTCCTTAACTCTTTCTCAACAGTTTGATCACATCATTGAAATAATGTTGTATATTTTTGTGCTTGGAAATGAATGGTAAATGACATGAGATGGTTTTTGGATGCAATATTGCCTTTATTTCAGGCAAAATTTTCTGCATCTTGGTTGCTTGATGATAGTATTCCTTATTGGGAGAAGGCTCATGAGAAAACCTATTATAAATTTCATTCATTGTATATTTATATTTCCTGATTTTTTTTTTGTTTTTTTTCTATTTTTAATAATATGCTTTCCTCTTTAATTTAACTGATATGAATTTCTATTACTATGGTTAATTGTTTATTTTCCAAATCCTTATTATGCTTTATTGGTAATTTGTTTCATGTATTCAACCCTTATAAAGCATTTAGGCAACTTTCTCGTCCTCATACTGTGACATAGCTAACCTTTGGCTAAGAACATTTAGTTTTTGGCTGCCAAAGGGCTAGTGGTGCTTGTAATTTGTTAGCTATAATGGTCAGTATTACCATTTTCCATATTCATAAAAAAAAAAAAAATCAAAAGAATGCTGGAGCATTGAATCTAATTAAAATTGTTGATTGTGCTTTGTTAAGATACCGCCTTATTTTTCTTTATTATTTGATTTGTATTGCAAAGTCTATATTTGAACCTTCTGTTGTTTTCAAATGTCATGGTTTCTTTGGCTTCTGATGGTTACATGTATTTCTCCATTGTTCTATCTGGTGTGGCTTATTATTATGCTTCTTTTTTTCTTCCAGACTATTGGCTCTTTTCAGAAGAAGTACAGCATTGGTTCATTTGAGCTCCTGAGCAAAACAGCACCAATACAAGCTGCATCACTTATCGTGTTGGGTCCATTCATGGACTACTGCCTCAATGGGCAGTCAATCTTGAAGTACCATTTCTCTACTGGAGCATTAGTAAGTCTCATCTGTCCTTTTCAATAAAAGCATGCTAACAAAGTTCGGCGATTTACTCCATCATACTATGCTTCTAAAGAATTCATACTGGGAAGAAAATGGATTTGAATGTTGCAGAATATTTACTTGGGGCCGTATGCAATCACTTTTTATTTTTTAATTTATATGGAGTATAATTTTATTAGTAATAGATCTAGTTGGGGGTTTGCGACTTTAGACGATCAAGTCATTAATGAGAGTACACGTTTTAGATATATTGGGTCTATTGTTCAGAGTGATGGTGAAATAGATGGGGATATTATTAGTAGAATTCAAGTTGGATGGTTGAAGTGGAGGAATGCATCGGGCTTGTTTTGTGATAGAAAAGTTCCCCTCAAACTAAAGGGAAATTCTATAAGATGGTGGTGAAATGCAATGCTTTACGGTGCAAAATATGGCCATTAAAAGAGAAGCATAATATTAAGGTACGTGTTGCAGAGATGAGGATGCTCAGGTGGAAGAGTGGCTTTACTCTTAGTGACAGGATACAGAATGAGCATATATGTGAAAAAGTTGGAGTAGCTCCAATGGAAGATAAGATTAGAGAGAGTAGTCTTAGATGGTTTGGTCGCATAAAATGGCGGTCTTCTGATGACTCAGTTAGGAGAGTAGATGTATTAGATTTGACTTAGTTAAGTTCTTCAGCACAATTAATGCATTAAACTCTGTATATTCCTCATAACATAACATCACCTTTTTTTGGTACAATCTGGTTGCTCTTAACTTGAAGAGAGTCCACAGGCAGATTTCTCATTGAGCTATTATGTTTCATTGTTACAGTTTTTTATAATTCTTTCCTGCACATTGGCGGTCTTCTGCAACATGAGCCAGTATCTTTGCATCGGCCGGTTCTCGGCAACAACATTCCAAGTCCTGGGTCACATGAAGACCGTATGCGTGTTGATTCTCGGATGGATATTGTTTGACTCTGCCCTTACCATCAAGAACATCCTAGGAATGTTACTTGCAGTGGTAGGCATGATTGTCTACAGTTGGGCCGTCGAATCCGAGAAGCTGGCGAAGCTTGCTGCAAGTGCCATAAGTGATGAGGAGAATGTGAAGCTTCTCAAGGATAGATCAAATGGTGTTACAGAATCTGATGTGGAGCTTGGCCAAACCAAGAGTTGAGATCTCATAACCCATTTTATATGTTAATTATTCTTTTAAATTATATGTATTTCTCTTCTTGTGTTGAGTCTCCAATTATTCCATTCTTTCTTGTGCCTCAAGTGAAGCCATGTGATTTTGGGGGGAAGGGTGGAAGCTAGAAGCCTAGAATCTTTAATTTCCCCTATATCAGATATCAGAATCTCTTTTAAACTATATGTACATTGTGCAGCTTGTCATATAAGAATCCTATATTCCTGAACCGCCAATCTTAATTAATTTTGCATTTATTGAAGTCATTCTTTCCCATGGATGATTCTCTCTTCTTTTATATTCTTTGCAGTTTCTCATTGTATTTTCTTTTTGCAAGTTCTTCTTTCTGAACTAATTTGTTGTTGCAGTTTTGTCTGATTTGTGATTTGTTTCAGAAGTGAACGAAAACTTTTAAGAAGAATGAATATAAATACACGACCTATGTTGCACCGATATACTTATTTATGAATGCGTGCTGTATTCGATACGCCTATATACGGATACGCTTCCGATACATGTCGGATACGGCTTTGCCGTATCCAATTAAAATACTATTTAATTTCAAAAGGACGTGTCCGTTGAAAAAAAAAAAAATCAGAAAAAAGACCCATCGTATTTACTTCCGTGGCTGCGAGCGAGGTTCTCTCATTTCCGAGATGGATTTGAGTCTCTTGATGATATGGGAATATTATAAATTGCTAATCTTTCACTTGATGAGCCTAAATTAAAAGCTATGATATTTATTGAAGATGATATAGAAGTTCAAAGACAAACCACTTAGGAAGCTAATCATATCATTCCTTCTATTGAATAGTTGAAACTTCATGTGCTAGACAATTTATATTTATGCTTTTGTTGTTATACTAGACATTTAATGCTTACTTTTACTTTGATATTATAAGCTACAAGGCTACAAATGATGTTAAAGGAAGATAAGTCTCTGGCCATTCTTCTGTTACCGGCTGTTTTTTGTTACTTTTCGGTTTCGGTTAGGCTAGAGGCGAGGAATGGATTCCGAGAAAAAGCCGCGGGTAATATCGAACGCGGGGGCGTGGGGAATGAACGTAGTTAGCTGTTGGCATAATCATGGCCAACAAGCAGCTTAATGTCGCCTAGGCGCTAGGATTCAGCTTCGGTATTCTCTCTTTTTCGATTTTTTAGGGTTTGTTGGTATTCTTTGTCCGTCTTGGAATTTGATTTGTTAAGTCTATTTGCAGAAAGGTCAGATTCTGTTTTGAAGTTTCCTAATACGTGCTTCTCTGAATCTTCCATTGGGCGGTAGAGTGTAGTTGAAGCTGAAGATGTTTGAGCCTTCAAATAATTTATTATGCCTTGATCTTGTTTGTTCTAAATTTAAGAATCTTTTTAAAGATGTTAATTGTTTAGGTTCTTTGCAGCTTTCTGGAATTTGCCAATAACTATCCTTAACCATGCTAATGGAAAGCTGTTATTTTTTCCCACCGATTTTATTTATATAAATTGTTTTTAGCATCTGTAAATTTTTAATCTGATTCTTATATGATTTTTGCTTGAAATTTAAATAGCCTGCTTTTGAAAACTCTGCAGCAACAACGTTAACTGGATTTCCACTTCAGTGTGACGGCTCTTGTCGGTTGGGTTCAATGCTGCTGGTTGTCTGTGTCAAGCAGATTCCTTTGTGGGAGCTTCTATGGTTTTTCGATTGTTTGCAAATCTTTCAATTATACCGCCATGAATCTAAGTCTAATGCTTAACCTCCGTTTGGTTTTTATCAGGTTTGAACGTCAGATCTATCATTTTGTTAAGTATGTTTCAGTGCAAAGCATATTTAATCTTCTAATATTTTGTTGTTTTTTATGTGAAATATAGATCTCAGAAGGGGCAAAGTTTGAGTAAATAAACCAGTGGTTTGTATGCTGGAATGGATATTAACCAACAAAAATTATCTTCCAAAGTGATAATGTCTGTTGTTGTTGTGGCTTTTGGTGTTGGCATCTGTATCGGTGACTGATGTGGGATTAACATGGAAGGGCTTTTTCTTTGTGCCTGTGTGGCCGTCTTCTGCACATCGCTCCAACAAGATTGTGAGCATTTTAACGTTTTGCCTTTACTTTTTTTTTACTCTAAAGATGCAAACATATGTTTTTCCTCTCCTGCATCATTTTGCTTGTGTTTTTGTAACATAGAGAACTTGAAATCTGTAATGCTTGAATTAAAAATCTTCTTCGCTGCTGATGTATTGTCCAGCAGTATTAGGGCTGCAGCAAACGAGCCGAGCCGAGCCGAGTATGTGAGTGTTCATGTTTGTGTTCAATTTTAATATCAGTTTGTTCAACTTTGGTTCATGTTTGTTTCGAGCTTTTAAATTGTTTGTGTTCATGTTTGGGTTCAATTTATTTATGAGTGTTCATGGTTCGGTTTCATGTTTAGTTTCATGTTCGTTCGTTTAAGTGCTTATAGAGCTTGTTCGCGAACATATTAACGAAATTTTTTTTAACTATCAAACAAATACGTTCATGAACATATCTATGAACAAACATATTTATAATAAAACAATTGTCTATATAACAAAGGTAATGATTATTTATATTTTATTAATTTTTAATAGTTAAATTTAATTATTTTTATCGGAGCATTATTCAACGAAGTTCAAAAATCGGAACACGAATCGAGCTTGTTCACGAACTTCAAATGAATGTTGTTCGCGAACATAAATTGAGCTGAACGCATTAGTGTTCAAGTTTGTTTATTTAAGAATCGAGTATTTAAAATATTGTTCAAGTTGTTTTGTTTATTAATTAAACGATACAAACGAGCTTTAATCGAAGTTCGAACCACGAGTAGCTCGTCGAACATTTGGTTCGCTTACAGCCCTAAGCATATATAAAAAAGTTTTGTTAAAAGAAGTTAGGTGACATATTACTCATCATAAGGATGACTTAATGTTTACGGACATGCAGTCTTCCAAACTTCAAGATGGTAATCAGATAAGGCTAGTTTCTACTAACATTCCATGGCACATGGAAATGGGATGTACATGATGTCACTGAATAATAGTTTTTGTAATGATCATCTGAACACTAGCTTAGGGCATCTTCCAACCGAACTCCAAAAGCTTTGGAATGACGTTCGCTCGTGAAGCTCCCAGTCGACGGTAAAACTTCTGCTATTTGGTTGCGCCGTGAATAGTGGAACGCCAATATTGGCGTTTGCACTGTTCATCTTTTGCTTTTTTTTGTCTCTACTACCGAACTTTCCAAAGAAACGTACGAAAGAGAAAGACTATTACCTTCGCAAAATGGGGCAAATGGAGTTCGATTGGAGATGAATCACGCATTTTTGAGTTTCACGGCATTTTTTGAGTTGAAAAATCGAGATTTTCGGTTGAGGTGGTCTTAGGTTTAAGCACATCGTGAGTGCGATGTCATGTTATTAAATTCTTGTAACTATGCATGTTTCAGATCAAGCAGTCCTTCAGTCATGAGGTTTCCTACTCATATTTTAAACAACGATTCACTTAAGCATGGGTTCTATTAGAGAGAGATATTCATTCTCACTTAAACTAGTTTTCATCATCACATCGTTGAATAATGGTTGTATTCTTTGTGCTTGAAAATGT